GCCCTATGCTAGAGATAGCTAAAATCAGGCAATCGTCTCCGCCAGGACAGCTCTGCAAGAGCACAGCTACTAAAAAATTCTTGTGCCACTGCTGGACAGGAAATAAGATTGCCACGGGTCTTACAGCTACTCCCGCCAGACAGCTGCCAATCATTCTACAGCAGCTGGGCTACACAATCTCCTGAGACAGGCAGGGCCTGAAGATCTCCCAGAATTCCAGCTGATCTCCAGAGATCAGTCCCCCTGGAGAAAATGGCTGCCTTGGAGGGTGGACTCTATAGTATTTTACTCCACTGAACTCCCTCCCTTCCTACACCCTTAGGCTCCATCCCCAAATCTACAGGAATTTCCCAACCCAGAACCGGCAACCCTAGGTATAACCAAGCAGGCACAACCGAGTGGGTCAGAAGCCACCAGCCCAGAGTTGGGGATAGGGGCGGGTCTCTAATTCTGCTGAATTGCATGAAAGTTTTAGAAACTGCTGAACTACTGACCTTCCACAGCCTGCAGCTCAGCGTCTTAACCACTTGAGCCACCGCAGCTCCTTTTAAATTATCACATTATTAAGGCCTATTTGTACATCTGGATGTTGAGTTCAATTATGTAATAACACTTTAATAGTTTGTCATCATCATAGGCAGTGCCATAATAACTGGACAAAATGAGCAATATTAAATGCATATTTATGTATTTTTTAAATCCTGCTTTTCCTCTAATAAACTGTACATCAGGGCTGTCAAACATAAGGCCTGGGGGCCGAAACTGGCCCGTCCAGGGCTCTTATGCGGCCCACAAGCCACTGATGCAAGGGAGGGAGTACTGGGAGGGAGTGGGCGGAGCCACTCCATTGTGGCTTCAGCACGGCAGAACAACCTCGTCTGCAGCAGTCAAGCATCATGGGAGCATCTGCCCAGTGCTGCACTGCTGCCTCTTCAGCCCTCCCATGTGGGTTTTCCTCTGCACCCCCCTCCCAGCCCACGGGGCCTTGCAGTGAGGATACACCGATTCAGAGCTTACCAGCTGCTGCCCTTTATACAGTTTATATCTCCGGTACCCAGCATTACATTTTATGGCAAGCATGGACCGGCCCGACAAATGGACATTTATGTCAGATCCGGCCCTCATAACAAATGCGTGTGACACCTTTGGTCTAAACAGATTTATACCTTTTAAAACCCATAGATTTCAGTGGACTTAAAAGGATGTAACTCACCTCAGGATTGCTCTGATAAAACCCCTACTCCTGAACTTATACATACTGCTAATTTTGCCTCTGTTGTTCCCACAGACAGATGGAATTTTATAGTGGGATTCTCTTTTTTTTTTAAAGAAGTTGGCATCTTGGCAACCAGACATCTGGACAAAAATACCACAAAAATATCCCATAAAGTGTAAAATATTCTACATTCTCCCACTCCGATACATTAAGCACAGTCGGCTTGTAGAAACAGGTTCCTGGATGCCATCTACTGTACTAAGTGTGCAAGAGCTCCTTGTGCAACAGACAGTTTGTGGCATTCAGTAGAGCACACACAAATCGCACGCATCGTTCGTCAAGTGCAGCCCACGGCCCCGTTCACCTCCATGCACAGCATCCTGCACATGGGCATCGGCTGTCCAAACAATCCTCCCGTTTGTACTGATTATTTAATGTCTTGGCAAGTCTGGTTGTTTTTAATCTCTTTTAATCACAGGCAATCTTAAGAATCTTGCCAACGGTTAAATGTATTTATATGCAACAAAATGAAGCACAAAGTTATTTATTTGTAATCGGGAAGATGGAATGTGTATACTTTTGGAGTCAGGTGGCGTATGACAGAGAGGGAAGATGGAAAGAAGAAGAGGAGGAGGAAGAGGAGGAGATTGGATTTATACCCCACCCTTTAGTACCCAAAGGAGTCTCAGAGCGGCTTGCAATCCCTTTCACTTCCCCTCCCCACAACAGACACCCTGTGAGGTAGGTGGGGCTGAGAGAGAGCCTCGAGAGAACAGCTCTGAAAGAACTCGTGACTGACCCAAGGTCACACCAGCAGCTGCATGTGGAGGAGTGGGGAATCGAACCCAGTTCTCCCAGATTAGAGCCCGCACTCCTAACCACTACACCAAAGGTAGGTGAGTACTCACCGCGCCAGAAAGACCAAGAGAAATGCACCAAAGTGGCATTTATATTGACTATGATGGAGAATTTTGAACACCACGAGCTCTGGATTTCTCTGCTTTCTCTCAAGACTTATTTCAGGCCTGGCATCGGCATACTCCACAGCGGGGCAGCTGCCAGGGTCCATTTGGGGAGGGCTCTCTGCCGCTGCCCTACCACCCAGCAGCACCATCAGGAAAAGGGCACGCCTGTGGCTGGGAGAGCGTGTGGCAGGAAAGCTTGCCAGTCGAGTGAGCGGGCAGGGAAGGACATAGGGGGAAAGCAGTTGTGGAAGGGCACGCAGGCAAGTGGGTGAGGCCAGGGGAGCTATGGTGGGCAGGGGAGCTGTGGTGGGCAGGGAAGGGGGCTCAAGCACTCTCTCCACCCAGGGCCCCCCACAAAACCTGGACCCAGCCCCCGGTCACAGCCACTCTTCTGTTAAGAGCAGATCCAATCACTGCCATACAAGACTGTGGTTGTACACTGACATACTCCGGAATGGTCAGCAGGGGTGGAAGCCCCCCCCCCCAATTAATTGCACTGCATTGTTCTACATAATTTATTTATCTAATTGCTTCATTTATATCCCACCTTTTCTCCCCAATGGGAATCAGAAGAAGAGGAGGAGGAGATTGGATTTATACCCCGCCCTTCACTTGGAGTCTCGGAGTGGCTTACAAACTCCTTTCCCTTCCTCTTCCCACAACAGACACCCTGTGAGGTAGGTGGGGCTGAGAGAGCTCTGGCAGAAAATGCTCTTTTTCAAGAACAGCTCTTGTCAGAACTACGGCTTGCCCAAGGTCATCCAGCAGCTGCAAGCAGAGGAGTGGGGAATCAAACTCGGTTCTCCCAGATTAGAGTCTGCGTTCCTAACCACTTCACCATAGCTGGTTACTTGCAAACACAACCAGACCACAGGGTTGCCAACCTCCAGGTGGCAACTGGAGATCTCCCGCTATTACAAGTGATCTCCAGAGAGTCACAATCAGTTACCCTGAGAAAAATGGCTGTGTTGGAAGTTGGACTGTATGGCATTATACCCTGCAGGAGTCCCTCCCCAAGCCCCACCCTCTCCAGGTTTCAACTCCAAAATCTCCAGGTATTTCCCAACCCAGAGCTGGCAACCTGAACCACAGCTTTGCGGGGGCTCAGGAGAGGTCTTTCCTATCACCTCACTGCTTTTGCTGGAGATGCCAGGGATGAACTTGGGACCTTCTGCGTGCCAGTTTGGTGTGGTGGTTAAGTGTGCAGACTCTAATCTGAGAGAACCGGGTTTGATTCCCCCACTCCTCCACTTGCACCTGCTGCAGGCCCGTAGCTACAGTGGGGCACCTCAGGGCTAGCCCCCCCCCCCCGCCTTGCTGGCAAGGCCCCCCGCCCCCCCCCGACTTGCTGGCAAGGCCCCCAGACTTCCCATCTAGCCCAGAGAGTCACGCCCTTCTCTCCTGGATTAAACGGATTAGCCAGTGACCCCTAAGAAATTTAAATGCCCCCTGACTTTAAAAAATCCTGGCTATGGGCCTGAGCTGCTGGTGTGACCTTAGGCCAGTCACAAGTTATTTCAGAGCTGTTATCTCAAGAGCTCTCTCAGCCCCACCTACCTCACAGGGTGTCTGCTGTGGGGTGGGGTGGGGTGGGAGACTGTAAGCCGCTCTGAGACTCTGAGTGAAGGCGGGGTATAAATCCAATCTCCTCCTCTCTCTCTTCTTTTTCCAAGCAGATGCTCTGCCACTAAGAGAGCCAGTTTGGTGTAGTGGTTAAGTGCGCGGACTCTAATCTGGAAGAACCGGGTTTAATTCCCCACTCCTCCACTTGCACCTGCTGGATGACCTTGGGCAAGCCATAAGTCTGCACCAGCTGTTCTTGAAAAAGAGCCGTTTGTGTCAGAGTTTTCTCAGCCCCACCTACCTCACAGGGTGTCTGTTGTGGGGAGGGGAAGGGAAAGGAGTTTGTAAGCCACTCTGAGACTCCAAGTGAAGGGCGGGGTATAGGTCCAATCTCCTCTTCTTCTCTTCTAAGCCACACCCCTCCTCCTCCTGTTTTCCATTTTATCCTCACAACAACCCTGTGAGGAAAGTTAGGCTGAGTGTGCAACTGGCCCGAGGTCGCTCAGCAAGCTTCCATGGCAGAGTGGAGATTCGAAACTGGGTCTCTCAGATCCTAGTCCAACCTTCTAACCACTGCACCACGCTGGCTCTCGGCGTAAGCCACCTCTGGAGACCCTTTTGGGTTAAAATACAGGGTAGAAATCAAATAGTCAATTAATCAAACCAACCGATGCCCGATGTGCGCAGTACAGAATATAAATCCCAAACAAACAAGCAAACAACCTCCGAGATTATCCTATTCTCGGTGTGGCCCCATTAAAACCTGTGGGGTTTCAGAGGCAAGCGACTACGAAATGCAGCTCAATGCATCCGGGCCGATGTTTCGCACTCGCCACTGATGCTTGAACAACTGAAGATGCCACTGTTGCTCATGTCTGTTGTATTGCAGAATATTGTAGCCTTTTTCCCCCAAAAAGGGGCAGGAGGCCTGGCACATCACGCTGATGACCTCTAAAGCTACTAAAAAACATCAAATCGGGGGGGGAGGGAGCCTCTGCATTGTATCAACGTACGATACTATACACAGCACCAAAAATATATCAAACCAGTAAAGCGTTGCCTTGTTACCAGAAGTGGACTGCTTCATATCCAGCATGAAATGAATACTAGTTTTCACATACAGATGGTCCTTTGTGCTAAGGGGTAACCAACATATTACGAGGAACCAAAAACTGTCCGTACATCCAAAGTTCAAAAGACGGACATCAATATTGGGACAAATCCAACACAGGTGGGGTGGGGGGTTTTCTTGCCTTTTATTGCTGATAGTTTCCATATTGGCCCTGTTAAACGATGACGGGAAAGGAGATGTTAGGGAAAAAATCAGTGCAATAATTCCTGCAGATATTCAGAGTACCATGACAAATCAAACACAGGCTGCTTGTAGACCAGGGTTAATAGTCCAGGTTTTCCCCAAAGGATCTTAAGAACTGGTTTGGCAAAGGAGCGGAGAATTATTTCTTGGCTAGAGCTCCTGTTTCAGGGACTCTGGCAAACTTCATTTCCCAGGCTTCCACAGGAAGGGGAAATAAATATGCTACATGGGTTTAATTCTATAGTACTGTGATCCCTTATAAAGACAGATTCAGGTGGGGTAGCCATGTTGGTCTGAAGCAACAGAACAAAGTCTGGATCCAGTGGCACCTTTAAGACCAACACAGTTTAATTCTGGAAATAAGCTTTCATGTATCTAAAGAAATGTGCATGCACACCAAAGCTTATACCCAGAATTAAACTTTGTTGGTCTTAAAGGTGCCCCCGGACTCAGATTTTGTTCTGTGATCCCCCTATGTGGTGTTTTGCAGATGTGTTCCATTGTGTTCACTTGCTCCTTTCCCCACACATCTCACCCCACAAACAAACAGCCAATCTACTCATTCTTCTTTCCAGGGGTCATTTCGTAGAAAAAGAGCTGCAGGTCCTCATTAGCATACCTAATAAGCTATTAGCATAATAGCTCGTTAGCATATGCCACGCCCCCTGACATCACTGGCAGTGATGTCAGAAGGGGAAGCAAAAGGGGGGAGGCATATTCAAAAGCCTCCCCTTCCCCAGCACTTTAAACCCCTTCTCTCTTCGCTCCCCCCCCCTTGGCAGGTCGGCGCTCTCTCCCCCTTGCCAGGTCGGCTGGGGAAGGGGAGCCAAGGCGGGCGGGGGGGGGGAGAGAGAAGAGAGAAGGGGTTTAAAGTTTAAACCCCTTCTCTCTGGAGTCATGCCGCAGCAGCGGTGCGATATTTCCATTGTATTCTATGGAGCCATGGAATACAATGGAGAGCAGCGGCACGACTCTAGACTGAAGGAGCTGGGGGGCGGGGCTTGCTGCCAGCGGGGCTGCTGGAGCGGCGCTCCGGTGCGCTCCGGCTCCAAACGACCCCTGCCTCTTTCCTTTAGAACAGTCTTGGAGTTGTCTAGAAAGAGCCCCCATTTGGAAACAACTGCCTCCTTCACAGGAAGGTGCTTGCCTTGAGATCTCCTGACATTCTGAGGAACATCCCAGTGTTTTTATGATTGGACCCAGACCTCATGGCACCCATCTTGTAATCATTCCCACCCCCCTCCACGGCAGCCATTTTGTTACGGTGCCCATTCTCAGAATTCCAAAAGTGCCCACAGGCTCAAAAAGGTTTGGGATCACTGCTGTAGTATATAGACTCCTATAAAGGCAGGGTCAGCTAAACGTCTGGACTAAAGCTGAAGCTGCGGCCACACACACCAAAGAATCCACTTTCAGTGCGCTTTCCAAGTGGTGTTTGCCAGTTCACACAGTAAAATCTAGTTGGAAAGTGCACTGAAAGTGGATTATTTAGTGTGTGTGGCCGTAGCCCCGGCTACCTTTCCATTATGGAGCGGAAACCTCATCCCGAATTTTTATAAGACTGCAAAAAATCTTTTTCCACTGGCCCATTCCATGAAGACCTTTTTTGGCATAGGGATGCCACTAAGCTGCACACTACATACTTCTCAGTAACCACATGAATGCACATGAAGCTGCATTACACTGCATCACACCATTGGTTCAACATGGTCAGTATCAGCTGACAGTGGCTATCCAGGTTTTCAGGTGGAGGTCTTTCACATCACCTACTACCTGATCCTTAACGGGAGATGCTGGAGACTGAACCTCCTGTAAGGGATGCTCTGCCACAAGGGATGCCAGCCTAGAGGTGGCACCAGGAGATCTCCCGCTATTACAATTGATCTCCAGACGACCAAGATCAGTTCCCCTGGAGAAAATGTCAGCTTCAGAGGGTGGACTCTGGGATTATACCCTGCTGAGGCCCCTCCCCTCCCCAAACCCCGCCCTCTTCAGGCTTCACCTCCAAAATCTCCAGGTATTTCCCAGCCCAGAGCTGGCAACCTATCTACCACTGAGCCGTAGCCCCTCCTGATGGCCGCCTAGGCTGGTCAAGTCCCCCCGGGGGGAGGGGAAACCCCCACCTCAGAGGCCCGTTCCCTGCCGCTGGCGGATCAGGCCCCGGGGGGAACCCCACCCCGACGTGCACATCACCCGGCAGTGACGCGACCACACCGGGCACGCTGGGGGCAGGGCCACGGTCATCCGAGGGAAAACTCTATGGTTTTCCCTCGGATGGTCGTGGCCCCGCCCCCAGCGTGCCCGGCGTGGTCACGTCACTTCTGAGTGATGTGGATGCAGCGCGCGTGCTCTCCAGCCGCCAGCCGGGAGTCCCCCGCTGCAGTGAAAATCAGACCTGGCAACCCTATGGCCGCCTGCCTAATTTACCTGTTCATAGCCATAAGGCCTCTGTTGCTGTGCAGCTGGTCCCGTCTGCGATGCTCTGTAACTTCCATATTGCTGCCCCTGGCCCTGTTGGTAGCTGGAATATTGTGATGAGGCTCCTTGGGTGGGGCCTGTGAAGATAACAGGAAAAGCCCTTGACAACAGTTCGAGAGACAGAGCTTTTAGGATTACTGTGAATGCTCCTATCATCAGAGTTCCTGTCTGCCTAGCAGGTAATAGGTGATCAGGGGCTTATCTAAAGGAGCTCGATGGCTCTTAACAGCACAGAACCTCTCATTCTTCAGGCACTGAAATGTTACACTCAACAGTTTCAAAGAAGGTCAGAGAGACATAAAAGAAACAACTTTTAATTTGCCCTCACACGGAAATGGAGAGCAAATAGTTTTTAGCTAAGAACTGATTGAAAGAAAAGCATGGGGGTGGGGGGGGAAATGTGTTTTTGGGAACTTGATACAGGATTAGTGGCTATACTGCCTGCTGTAGGCCTCTGCTTCAACCATGCACTGGCTGTATATTTGCAAATGAAAAGGTATTAAAAAGGCACTATATATACCAGAAACTTTTAGGCCCCTTTCAGACAGCCATTGGCCCCGGTAACACGGCAAAGTTACCGTGGGAGAGGCATGGATGGTGGGTGGATTATCCGGGCACGATCACACCCCAACATCTGGGAAGTGGAGCACACCTGTGGCTTACCGCCGAAAATGCGCATTAAAAAAGTAGTACCTCCAAAGTACTAGTAAACGTTTGCCACGGGCTGCCTCCAGACTCCCGTGGTGTGATCGCGCCGGCGTGCGGCATTCCCCTTCGGTCCCTTGTTTACCTCCTGGCGCCGAGGGAAGGACCCGTGGTGTGCTGCCAGCACGTCTGATCGCGTAATCGTGGATCAAACTGCGCCGGGGCAATTAGCCACGCCTCCCCCCGCGATATCCGGCCCGTGTGACTGGGGCCTTTGTAATCCATTTTGGTAGCCGATTGCTAACGGTGTTTTTTGTGTCATTTCAGACGCAACCATTTTAGCAACCGGCTGGTAATGGATTTTATTTACTTTTTCATACAAAGCTGCTTGTGTCCGGTTAGCAATGTGCGGTTGAGCCGTTCTTGAGGTAAACTGCTCTCTTCTGCTTTCACCTCTTCTTTGCGCTTCTGAATCGCTGCAGTGTGCTGTTTTGAAATGTCTGCAGCGCTTCCAATAGTGCCACACTTTCCCCCAACGTTTTTCGCAGTGCGATCTTCCTTGAACTTTTTTTTGAACATTCTAAGTTGAGCACTACAGCGCTAGACCAATATAGTATTTCAGTGCTACAGCAGCAACACCGAGGTGCCTTGGGACCTCGGCGATACATTGAGATTGTGGCTGTTGCTACATGGATACAGGAAGAGAGAAGTAGCTCATTGGGCAATAGGTGCTCAGGGCATCAGTGATTGGTTTTACAGAAGTTGTTAATAACAGCCACAATCTCAAATGTATCTCAATGGTGCCGCTGTAGCACTGAAGTGCTACACTGGTCTAGTGCTATAGTGCTCAACTTGAAACGTTCAAAACACAAGTTTGAAGAAGATCGTGCGGAGTGAGGGGGAGAGCATGGCACTGTTTCAAATGGCCAGATTGCTTCAGAGAAGGCTCATTAACAGAATGAAATTCACTGTATGAAACCTCTGTCCCTGTATCGCTTCACTTGGAACCGGGCCAACAACGAATAACATCTGGTTTAGAACAGTAATGTGAAAGGGGGCCTTACAGTCCTTGCTTATTAATAAAAATCCTACATCAAGGAAACAGACCATGTAAAAAGGCCACTTCTAGAAGTTCATAACCCTTTGGGAAGTGAAGAGAGCCAGCATCTCTTTGTGTATCAATATATGTAAGTAAACCATATGACTGCTTCTGGTATTCTATAGATGTGCAATCACATTGACTGTAGTTATTAGCCTTGTTACAACCAGAAGTGATTACAAAAATGAGACAGGAGGAGTTTAATATCTGTCATGGTCAATGTTCCCTCTAAGCTGTGGAGTCTTGTGAGCAAAAATTCTACTTTGTGAGCTGCTGGCATTAATGTTGTGAGCAAGAGATTTGGCTACTACATAAATCAGTTTGCTCTGGAGCCATCCTTCCTGAGCTAAGACAAAAATGTGTGAGCCGGAGGCTAAAAAACTGTGAGCTAGCTCACACTAACTCAGCTTAGAGGGAACACTGGTCATGGTACACACAGCATAAGGTCTTTCCCCCCCTGTCCATTCAGTACAGAGGGGGATTCTGGGGGAGGAAGAAGCTTTGTAAAAGTTCCAGGCGGAATTAATTATTATTTGCTAATCCTTCTGGTAGCACCTTTCCTGTGACTGAAAGACATATGTGCCAGAACAGAAATGCAAGCATTTAAAATAGAACTGACTCTTTATAATTACGGTATGCCATTCTCAACTCACACAGCTCTAAGACACCTTCAGTAATTGTTTTCTCAGTAGCAGTACATAACTACATCTATGCAATGTAAATAAATAAATAAACTTTGGGTATGTGGATACCTAGCAGGTTCCCTTGGCTATGGAGATATAGTCAGCAGACGTCCTATAACCCAAGGGCAGGGAACTTTTTAGGTCAGAGTGTGAACATCCCCAACATGGGGAGATGCTGGTGTGCTAGGAAACAAAGGGTGGTGAGATGAAGACCATACAGTAAAACCTTTGCTATCCAGGACTGAATAGAAAATGTGGTTAATCAAATGTCCTGGGTACTAGAACGTTTCTGTTTTTTTCATGCAAAATAAAAAAAAAATTAAAGCATTTCCCAGTCGTTTTGCTTGTCTCAGAATGGGATGCAAGTCTCATCCGATCTGTATTCTACACCTTAACACTTGTCAACGACTCTAGGCCAAACCTGCAGATCACTTAGACTCTGGCTTTCTCCTCTTACACGGAGAAGTTTCCAAGTTATCATTAACACAATATGTTTCCTTTTCTTTCCCCCTTTCTTGATGGTGTACTGCTAGCCATTTTGTGTCAGGGTGCCCAGAGAGAAGGAGTTGCCAAGCGCCCTGGGTCCTCCTCCTGTCCTTCCCTTTAGAGTGGTCTGAGGAGGGTGGAGTTATCTTAATCCACAAATAGGGTTGCCAGCCTCCAGGTTGAACCTGGAGATCTCCCGGAATCACAACCAACCTCTAGACAACAGAGATGAGTTCCCCTTTTAAAAAATGGCTGCTTTGGAGAGTGGACTGTATGGCATTTGATCCCAATGAGGTTCCTCCCTTCCCCAAACCCCACCCTTTCTGGGCTTCACCCCCCCCCCAAATCTCCAGGTGTTTCCCAATTTGGAACTGGCAACTGTACCCGCAAGCCATGCTCGTAGATCATTTTAGGCTGGCTAGGCTGCTGCCTAGGCACAGTGCCTTCAAAAGTCCAGTCTCCTCTGTTGTCCTTACTAGGAGATTCAACACCGAGCAAGGCGGCAGATCGACAGCAGTGAATTCTGGGCCTTCCGCTCCTTTAGGGTGCAGATGCCATGGGTATCTTGCCCGGTGACCTGAATGTGTGGCTCCTCTTGGGCTGGCTCTGCTACTGCCCAGCTGTTGGAATATGCAAGGTCTATTGTGCATTGATACAGAATATAAGAACATCCTGCAGGGGGCAGCGGAGGGGACAACTAGTTAGCACAGGAGATTAGGGACTTCCTACTATTTTCAAATAGTCTCCTTCGTGTCTCCTGATTGGCTCAATGCACCTGCTAAGCCTCTGTTCGTTACTGACTTCTCTTTCTCTCTCCTGTTTCTTACAAAGCTTGCTCCCTTCTTACTAAACAGATTTTATCCTTTAAACAGCTTGTGCTCCATTTTACTGCATATCTAAACTATGCCAACACCAACTACTACTGCTGCGCTCCACTAATGCTGGGCTCACAGCTGCCCTCTCTACAAGCAGTGGTGCCTTCAAAAGACCGGGCTCATTGCTTTGCCCTTGCCGGAAGTTTCAGCACCGATTGAATCAGCAGCAGTGAGCCACTCAGACAGGGGATCTCTTGTCTGCCTGTCCACAGCAACTGGTCGAAAATTCGCAGATAAGCCTTCTGCCCACACGCATATTGCAAGCTGCAAGAGGCAATGGTTAACTGAGTTGTCTGGATAAGAAAGCGTCGGATTACGCAGCTTTTACTGTACTTAGCCAGACACACTGCATAAATTGTAGCTAAATATAAAGTAAAGGTAAAGGTTCCCTTGCTCGAAAGCCAGTCGAGTCCGACTCTAGGGTTGCGGTGCTCATCTCCGTTTCAAAGCCGAAGAGCCAGCGCTGTCCGAAGACGTTTCCGTGGTCATGTGGCCGGCATGACGAAACACCAAGGTGCACGGAACGCTGTTACCTTCCCACCGAAGTGGTACCTATTTATCTACTTGCCATTTCTTGCTTTCGAACTGCTAGGTTGGCAGGAGCTGGAACTAGAGATGGGAGCTCACTCCGTCATGTGGCACACCCGGGTCTCGAACTGCTGAACTACTGACCTTCCACAGCCTGCAGTTCAGCGTCTTAACCACTTGAGCCACCACAGCTAAATATAATTTGGCACAAGATCAAGTGACAAGAGTGAGAATGCTTTAAAAATATCAGTATGAAACATCAGCAATGTTGCTTTCCGTGCACATCCATGGGAATGTGGCTGCAAGGGATGGGGTAATCCTTGCATCCTGTCTAGTCCTCAAAGATGCTTTGTCAGCAGTAGAGTTCTCAGTCCCCAGGTCCCGTCAGGGGTCCCCCCACTTCCAGTGCCCTGGATCCACTGCCAGCCAGCTGGCTCCTGGGGGAAACCCCGCCCCCAAACAGGGACGTCACCGCACAACTTCCCCGATGCAATGACGTCGCCCGGAAATGACATCATCACGTCACTGACGTTGGGGGAGACACTCTAGTTTCTGGACAAACTCTATGGCTCTGAAGTCAAAAAAATCATAGAGGTTTGCCCAAAAACTAGAGTGTCACCCCCTGACGTTGGCAACACGATGACATCACTTCTGGGTGACATCGTTGTGCCATGCGTGCTTTCCATGCGCAGCAGAGCATCCAAGAGGGGACCCGGGAGCCCCCCCCTCCCCCTGCTAGGCAGGTAGGACCCGGCAAGCCT